TTGACTTGAAAAGGGTGGAAACTAGAGGAAACCGCCTTAGCTACTGCAGTAGGCATGGGCCGGGATAAGATTCTGACGGTGTGATAACTTTGGATAGAAATATCACAGTTTCACAGTATTGTGATTTCTGCTCTAAAATATGTTCTTTTTAAATGTCTGGGTAAAAAAAAAAAACTTTTTTCTCCTGTGAACAATATATTTTATTTTAAGAAACATTTCTAATATTTTGGAACAGTGTATAAAAAAGCGTTATAAAAAAGTCTTACATGTATCGTAGGAATGGTATAACAGAAAATGTTAAACCTTGAAATGGTTATTGTCCCATGCCTAACTGCAGCTAGAAGGCATGGAGCCTTGTAGGATTTTACCTTTGCCTTGTTTCAAAATGATATAAGCTATTTATAACACTTGCATATCAACACTTGAAAAGACTGTAAAGCTAGTTAGTAAAGATAGTTTGGTGACTCCACCTTATAGTAGTGAAAATTTCTCCTAAATTTACTCATCCTCTTCCAAGATGTATGTGACGCTTAATTATATTAATCTTAAAGGAATAATTCACCTAAAAATTAAACTTTACCCACTCTTTACTCACCCTCAAGTGGTTCTTTCTTTTCTGATGTTTGTATTCTGAATGTTTTCATTTCAGTCTGAAGCTTTAAAGGTATAGTTCACCCTAAAGTAAAAATCGCCATCATTTACCAACCCTTTAGAACACACACAAAAAAAACTTATTTTGAAGAAAGTTGTAAACTTGTAACCATTGACTTCTATATAGGAAAAACACACTATAAAAGTCAATGGTTACAGGTTTACAGCTTTCTTCAAAATGTGTGTGTGTGTGTGTGTGTGTTCAACAGAAGAACTTCATAAAGGTATGAACAGGGGCAGACTTAGTGATTTAGGGGAGCTAGAATAGAAACTCAAAATATTCTCTTTTTCTAGATTTTTTTGGGGGTTAGTACGTTTTTCTCAGACATATTTCATGTTAAAATACATTTAAAGTCAATCTTTTAAATTCTTGATCTAAAATAGGAAAATAAGTTCCTATTTTCCTATCCCCCCCCCCCCACCCCTCCCCTCCTTTTTTTTCTTTCCCCTTTTTTGCCTCTTAAACAGCAGCTTATCACACAAAGGATCACTGTATCAGCTTAAAAGCTATACAAGTAAATACATTTACTGTCCTGTAAATGTATTTTATATTTCGGACATCGTGAGGGTTTCATTTTTGTGTGAACAATACCTTCACAAGAACTTTCCAAAGCCACGCATCCTCTTAAACACATGAACGCGCACAGAGGGTGCAGTCTGTCTGCCAAGCACCGCGACGAAGAGTTCGTGAAACGGTTGTTTCAGGTGCAGTATTTTCCTATTCATCAACGAGGCAAGATTACAGTACAAAGCACATAGTATTACAATGGTACAAACAGTTCTGGTTACTAGTTTATACACATTTTCACTCATGAACGCCAGGTGTTGTTCGTTGAGGAGGAACATGAGGTACCGTCCCGGTTGTTTAAATTGGATTTCGAACTTGGCCCGCAAAGCATCATGGACACGCTGTGACGCTGATGACATTGATCGTGTGCAAAAGCTGGTATGCAAATACATGTTTATTTACAGACAGGACATCCCATACCAAATTATTGGACAAACATTGGCTGCACTTTTAGCATTTTATTATGCTCATTCATTTTCTTTTCAGCTTAGTACCTTTATTAATCTGAGGTCGCCACAGTGAAATGAACCGCCAACTTTTCCAGCATATGTTTTATGCAGCGGATGCCCTTCCAGATGCAACCCATCTCTGGAAAACATCCATACACACTCATTCACACTTTTACACTAGGGACAAATTAGCCAACTCAATTCACCTGTACCGCATGTCTTTGGACTGGGGGAAACCGGAGCACCCAGAGGAAACACACGCGAACGCGGAAAGAACATGCAAACTCCACACAGAAACCCCAACTGATCCAGCCAAGGCTCAAACCAGCAACCTTCTTGCTGTGAAGCGACAGCACAACCTACCTATCTTTGCCACCATGTCAACTCACACTCATACAAAGTACTCATAATTGTAAATATGTAAACTTGGTAATAACTAGGTGTTTAACCTACACTTAGGGCCTACTTACACTATGCTATCCGAACCGTGCGCAGGCACGTTTCCCGGATGGTTTGAGAAGTGTGAGTGCTCTGAATTAGGCTCATGCATGGTTCACTTGGCCCTCCCTGGCCTGGTTGGAAGAGATGTGCCCGAGCATGGTTCACTTGGGCTTTGGCACAGTACGCTTGTGTGTGAGTCCAAAACATCCCTAAGCCCGAAACTGAAAGAGAGACGTGACTTTTAAAAGACATTTAATAATTATTAATCATTCTTATTATAAATAGATCTTATGAACTGTCGAAGTTTATTAAAGACGCAAACCCCTCGCTGCACCTTCAGCAAACCTCCTAATTCCTGCAGCACCAGGACTTTATGATTGTTTATGAGCATCAAAATTGGCTGATCTGTTGAGCGAAATATTTGACTGCATGTCACTGCATCTCAAATGACTTAAACGATATAACTGAAGAAATCTCCACTGTGCTGAGTGAAAGAGCTTACTGATCAGCACATCATCAATGATGTAAGCGTGCCCAGGCCCGAATGTAATATAAATGCAGGACGTCAGAGGAGATGGGAGGGGGGAGAAGCGTGCTTTGGCCCAGTTTAAGACAACCGTACATAGTATGGTAAGATAAGCACATGGACTAAGGGCGTACTCACATTGTGATAGAAATTGCAACTTAAAAGACCTAGAAAAATCTAGAAATTATCGGTTAAATCTGGAACCAACAAAGTCTGGCACTCTTCAAGTTTCTTTAAATAAACACGAGGAAACTGGTCATTGATGTATAACAGACACTCAATGTTTTAAAGAGCACCCATTACAAAATCAACTTTTGTAAGCTGTTTGGACATAACTGTGTGTACGGTGTAGGTATTGTGTGTCCACTGTCATATTGGAGTAATGTAAACCCAACAAGTCCGTTTTAAAAATGTTCTTGACGGGAAATATGCTAAAGGAATCGCAGTGATTGAGACCCACCTCAACGTGACATAAGAGTGCGATTTTTCCCTGCCCACCAAAAAGATTGATACACATGTCCAGAGAACATTTTCTTTGCAAATAAACTGGGATTAAAATATTTGTTGCAACCCTCTCTGATTAATTTTAGAAGTTTAAAACGCTTTTAAAACGGAGCATGTTTGTAATACAGTAAAGAGAGTAAAATTTCTATGTAAATCTTAACTGCTATAATCACCACAGCCGCATGGTGTCCGTAAACATACGTGTACTGCAAATGGCATTTGTGCGAGACTCATCATTTCAGAAAGGCTTGAATAGTCTCCACCACAATTACATCAAATAAACTTACTTGGTATTTTTGATGAATAAGTTGTATTTCAGCTTCATCAGAGTCTGTCTCTATCACTGATTGCGGTTTATTTGACATAACGCAAGATGAGACGCAGACACGCAAATGGGATGGTGGGTGGGGAGAAATAGCTCATTTGGATTTAAAACGCCACAGGCTACAAAAACAGCTACACTGTACTCACACAGCAAAATGGGCAATTTCTGGAGGCTATAATAATTGAGCTAACGGGTATTTTGAGTGGAAACTTTACAGACATGTTCTGGAGACAGCAGAGGCTTATCTTACATCTTGTAAAAGGGCTAAAATAATTAAGTACTCTTTAAGACAATAACCAAACAAATAAATGGTGATATAAAACACAACAACTAAATAACTGGACAAATAATTTATTTCTGACATCAGGAAGTCTCTGATCTGATGGGAAGAGGATTTGTTGAAGGAGTGAAGAGCACAATGACACAGTCTCATGACAGCACTTAAGTCCTCCTCAGCAGAGTTCATGTGCACAGGCTTTAAAAGTACTGTACGAGTCGACAGGACAGAGTAAAATCATTAAATAAGAAATCAGACACGTCCACAGGACAAAGAACAAACAAACAAACAAACAAACCGGCAAAGCAAACTACAGATACACCTCACCCATCACTACAGGATAGAATCTGGATCTACATGACCCACTCGCTGTTGTTGTTGTTTTCTTCTTCTTTTGTTTGCAAAGACATTCAGAAAAGATTTACACGGTCACTTGTAATGTGAACAAAAATCCTCACCCTTTCAATTCATTTCATCCCAAAATAAAGAAAAGGATTTAACAATCACTTTCTTGCACAAGGTGATTTAAGCTGCATCGTATCATGCTTGAGGAAATAAAGCGATTTCTTTTTTTTTTTTTTCATGAAATTTAGAAAACCATTTACAAAAGAAAAACTATTTCCTAAAGTAACTACAGCCCCAAATGAAGAACTTCTACAATAACAGTTGTACATTTCTCTTATATACAAATTTAATGGCACACTGTTTCAGTAGATTACATTTAAAACATCACAATAAACTTCAGCGATGGGAGGGTTCCACCTCTTCACACTTCTGCACAACATGGTAAACTGCTTAATGGGTCGCCTTCTGAAAACAACACCTGTAAAGCACATTCTCCTCCAAATCCTTTACTTCCCGAATAACAGAAATGGGCGATAACTCATCTCAGCTCGGACATTTCGCTCCATTCTCTTAAAGTTGTGTAAAGATACCACATTTGTACACCCATTTCTTTATGTTGAAAAATCAACACCGGCAGTTTAGTTTCTCTGTAGTGTTCAAATCAAGGATTTAGTGGTTACCAACAGCTGCAATATTAAATTCTGTCTGCATTAGTTGTGTATATATATAGACCACAAATGTCATTCCAACAGAGAACCAAGTGCCAAACTCTGGGGACAAAAACACATTTCTTCCATCTGCTTGAAAAATCCTGAAAAATTAAATATGCAAATTCAGAGCAAAGCTCAAATTGATGTTCAGCCCCTTTTTAAAGTGCAGTTGCACCGCTAATAAAATTCCAGAAGAGGCAGCTGTCAGTTTGCCAGTCAGACTCTTTACCGTTTGCCATGAATCTTATGTACATACTTACAAATAAAACAAAAGCCAAAAAATAAGTTAAATTCTCACACACAAAACCGGTTGGCAAGCCAAGACTGTAAATAAAAGTACGTGCCTGTAGTTATTCTCCTTTTTTACAGCGGTTTCCTTTTCAAACAATCGTCAAAAAGTTATTTGCCTTATAGAACCATCAACAACAACAACAAAAAAAAAAACTCTCCTCCATGACGTTGTTGCTTTGATAGAGATATATATCCCATGTTTTACATCTATTCATAGCAGCTGATGCAAAAATCATCCAGAGTCTCTCCATGCCCTTTATAGAGTCCCATACTCAATACTCTCCTGGGCAGCTTTACACGTAACATAACAGGACAACTGAGGAAAAGAACAAATGCCATGTCGGGATAAAAGTAAAATTGAGTGAAATAGGGCCTCTTTCCTCGTGTGATGCCTGTGAGCTCATTTAGGAGAGAGATCCTGAAGGGGTGTGAGGGGAGAGTTACTGGGGGAGGGAGACACTCCTTCCATCTTGGCGGGCGAGTCTGAAGAAGAGCCGACACTACTTAGACTCCCATCCAGAAGATCTGGAGACAGACTGATGGAGGGACACACAGATAGAAAGGGTGTTAAAGACAGGTCTTTATCGCAGCTCCACAGTAAAGAGTGTAGCCACTTTCAGACACAGTAAAGAGTCCACTCTGAGAAGAATACAAGTTGCATGTTGACATACAGAGCTAAAAAAAAGCCCACTAAATACAGCAGAGCTAAATCAAGCAGTGCTTTAAGTTAATGTAAGGATTTTAAAATCAAGCCTGAGCCAGAGATTCCAAAATAGGAGTTATGCAATCACCTGCCCAAGCCAGGATATGGCCTGCCAAATTTTGTAATATAAGATGCAATTGGCACCTATGGTTCACTACTGACAGGTAAAGCAGAGAAGCATGATTTTTTTTATTGTAAACAGGTTATCTGATAAAATCCAAGTACCATCCACAGATTAATGAAAATTTAAGTCTTTAATAACAAAGCATGGAAAACACAAAAATACTAAAAAGCAATAGGCCAAGGACAGACCCCTGCAGAACACCAAATCAGATAACTTTATATCCGTTTCTGGAAATTCATTTTAGGCCAGGTTTTTTTAACTATTAAACCAGAATTCAGGTTTGAATAACATTTGTGTATTTATCCACTCAGTCTTTCTCTGAAACTACTCCTGTAAGGATAACAAAACATTTTAATGTGCCCCTCTAACTGTCATGTACCACCTATTACAGCTGTCAGTGAATGTAAAAATATCTGCAAAATTCAAAAGTATAAGGTACACTTGCTTCATCAAGCTGCTGTTTTGTGTACAGCGGTTAGGTGACTGCCACAAAAGCAGAACGCCAAAATGGAGACGTATGCATTACATGGTCATTCTGCTTTTACTAAAACTTTTTTTTTATTGAAATCGAAACACAGAGAGCCACTTGCGTCTATTTGCTGCTAAAACTATTAAAAACATTCAGAACATCACACAATGTCTGCTAAAGTCGTTTTTGGTGGAGACTAGCAGACATTATCACTGTTTGCATTGGGTCAGTCCTGCTAGTCACCAATGGAAGGTGATACAGACATGTGCTGCGTCCCAATCGCATACTATCCATCCTAAATACTATTTGAAGATAGAATTAGCATGTTCCAAACCATAGTATGTTGAAAAGAATATGCCAGAGGTTCCCAGATGGTTTCCTATTAAAAAAAATTAAGTGTAGAAGCATCCATACTCTAACCGCTGATTTTGCCCACAATACATTGCGCATTGGATGCGAATTCGATTAGAACTACAAATGCGTGTGAAAAGTGTAAATAAACTACAAACATGGACGGGCAAGACCAACCGTCAAGTAGAGAGGCTTCGGTAAAGATGTTTGAATGACTGTTAGTCAATATCTAGCCCACTAGAAAATATTTAATATTGCATTTTCTGTGTTTTATTTCATCTGCAACAACAATACTGAACTTATATAAAGATGCGTCTGAACGTCTGAATGCATAATTATCAAAAGACCTGAGGAGATTTCGCTGCTGAAAGACTCCTGAATGGAAGATTAACCTGCTGCTGCTTCTCCAATAAGGTAGGACATTAAAGGGTCACGAAACACCAAAACACATTTTTTGAGCTGTTGACAGTCGTATATGTGTCCCAAACTGCTAATAACACTATTAGGACACCTATATTTCACTAAAAAGTGTAAATTGGTTGTTTTTGCGTTATTTCAAGCAAATTCGTACTTCCGGTTTGAAACGAATTTTTGAAGCTGCGTCACGGTCATGACATAATAGCGCTGTATTCCAGCGTGCAGACTGGGCGTCTGTGCCAGAGTGAATCTTATTACGTCTTACAGTGTGATGCATTAATGCATAAGTAAGGCTTTGTTCAATCCAATCAGCGCGCTCTATTGTGTAACTTCATTAATATTCATTACTGTCAGAGTGTAGACGGCAGAGACGCCACGTTGTATTGGCAAAACAAGCGTGAAGTGTTGCTTTTATAGTTTGCTCCAGTTAAGTTTTGTTATCATTTTCTCTCTGTGAGAGCGCAGCTGGCGTCACGTGTGGATTAACAGTGTACGCGACGCGCGACAAGAATAACTTGCGTGTCTAAGGAGGATTATTGTTTACCTGAGAGCTGTTCTCATCTGCAAACGCTGAGATCCGGATTCGCTTGTAGTCTCCTCTAAATAAAGACGCAGCTCTAGTTGCTGTGGATTGTCCTGTCTCTACAGATTTGGTAAGTGAGCGACCAGTGCTCTTTGTTTATTCAGTTCGTATTTTATTCGTATCAAACAAACTATTGCACCGAGTGTAAACAAGTTAGCACTAACAGTTACAACCAAACTATAACCTCGTGTTGGATTTTGTGACCGGAATAACACACATCTAAGTTTCCGGGAAATGCTGAGTTTTTTTTTCTCTCATTCGCTGTGCGGTATCAAACATTGCATGAAAAATACACACTTAGAGCAGTTCCTCGAATCAAATATCACGTTTGTCGGGAGGGACATGAATGAATTCCCTGAATGAAAGAGCCAAACTGCAGTTAAAGTCCACCATTTAATAATTTGGCAAATAATTCGACTACAGATGTCCATGTAAACACAGTCACATTGTCCGCTGTGGGTGTGTGTTTTGACTCTGAAATTCAGCGCGCCCAAATAGACACTCCCACACCAAGCCTCATTTTTTCCTCCGACACTCCCCCCTAAACAGAGCTGGACACGCCCACTTTTCTGACTTTTTCCAAAGTAGAGGTGTGAAAACACCCTGTTGAAACAAGGGGGTTTCATGGCCCTTTAAACATGACAGAAATGTGGATGGTGTGGATGATGGACAGGGGGCATAACCAAGCAACACAACAAACTCTTCTGCTGCACATTCAAAAGTATAAACTTTTCTTTTACAAAAAAATAAATAAATATATAAATTAAAAAATTTTAGGGCGTAGTGCAGGGGTCACCAATCTTGTTCCTGGAGGTCCGATGCCATGCAGGGTTTAGCTCCAACTTGCCTCAACACATCTGCCTGGTTGTTTCAGGTATACCTAGTAAGACCTTGATTAGCTTGTTCAGGTGTGTTTGATTAAGGTTGGAGCTAAAATCTGCAGGACACCGGCCCTCCAAAAACAAGTTTGGTGATCCCTGGCGTAGTATAAGTATTCGAATTGGGACGCAGCATTATACACACGAATGAAGGTTATAAAAATTAAAACTTGTACAGTTGGCGGTTCACTTCTGTTATATGATTGCATTCATATCAAAAGTGAACCGTACCAGATTTCACACAACCTGTACTCTAGACCTCCTCATTCAGGCGGCACGGGTGCTCATCTGAGTTCAGAACACCACGTTCACACTAGCTTAACGTACCATACTCTGACATCAAACGAACCAGAGTGTGGACCAAAAATGCTAGTGTGAAAGCACCCTTAAACTAGCTTAACACAAGGCACTTCACAGCATCAAAGAGCAATAGCTCACCATGTGTTGAGTTCAGGAGAGTGGGACACCTCTGTGGACAGCATGTTGGTGGTTCCCTGAAAGAGTCTCTTGGGCTGGCTTTCTGTCTCCATTTCACCTGAGCATACACAGAAACATGTATCGGCATCTCACAGGTGTAAACACATTACAAAAAGCCACTACATTATTAAAAAGTGTCAAGTGTGCCATCTTACCCTTGCGTTTTAAAGTGCCCAGAATGCCAGGCCTGATGCAGTTGATCGGGCTCTGACTCCTCCTGCTGGGCAAACTTATGATGAGAATGATATCAGCTACTCCGCCTTATAAAGATTTTGGCTTATATCTATATATAACAGGACACAATCCTGCTGTGGCAGGAAACTGGACAGAACTCACCTGAAGCGGCGTGTTGGGCTGGGAACAGGACTAGGTGTCAGACCGTTACTGCTTACCAAAATTTGAAGAGATGGAGAGAAGCACTGCTACTCATACAAAGGAGAGAAATAAATAAAAAGCACAAAAGCTTGCATAACAATAATAAAACATTTATTAAGGAAAAGAAAGCGATACCTTCTTTCCAATCCCTCTAGTGGGTGAAGGAGCAGGAGACACAGGCACAAAATCAATCCGCTTCGGAGATGACGATGAAGACTTCTCAAGATCATTATCACTCTACAGACCAAAGCAAAATACCACAAGTCAGAACTTGATAACAGTTTGTCTAATAATTAACCAACTGCCGGCTAATACGGTGTTGGAGTATTATACTACCAATCCAGTCTGTTCTTGAGAGACTGGTGGCCCTGATAACTCCATGAGCTTTTCTCTAGCATGCTTAATTTTGTCTTCCACAATCTCATTGACAAGGGAAAGAGGAAGTGTGGCAACATTGCTACCGCATGCATCATTTTTTTTAAGCATGTGAAAAAAAAACACGTCACATACAAACCTATAAAAATATTTTGACCAGAGAAAAAAATGGTTGTGCCCAACTGAGCCTGATTTTTCAAGGTTTTTTTCCCTTCACTTCGTCAATTGATGAAGTTTGTTCCTCGCCGCCCACTACCTTGTTTAGTTTGGGACTTGAGGAGCTGTGCATCGATGGATTTGCTCTTTAGTGTTTGGACTTTTAGCAGTGAAAATTAAACCACACTCAATCGAACTAAATTGAACTAACTCTGGAAATGAAACTGCATCATTCCAATGTTCAATTTACTAGAACTTCTATGTTATGCTGCTTTGACACAATTTACATTGTAAAAGCGCTACAGACAAAGATGAATTAAATATTTATGTAAATGTAGATTTAACTACATTCATGTAGTTACTACTACAACTTGTGTATAGTTTACATCGATTTGTTTGAATGGATATCAGTTTTCACCCAATACATCCTAACATGCTCCCCTCTGGGTTCCTGTAGTTTCCCCACATTGCCATTCAAACATACAAACAAAGTGGCAGCGAGCCGGGGAGAAATGTTGCACTTTTAGAAATTAAATAACAAATGCACAAACACACCCACCAAATAATATGGCATAATTCAGGGCTCTCGGTCCCACATTCACTGTCAAACACGCATTTGAACCTGTGCCACACCTTGCATTTCTCATGGCAAGAAGTAATGGGTTGAACAACTATTGCAGAAGATGCGCATATGAAAAGAACTGTTACAGATCTGATGTTGGAATCCAACATTGACATTTCCCGAAAAATGACATGAACCAGCTGCAAAGACATTCATTACTGTAAATATTAACACTTAACAAAACTTGCTCAGTGCATTAGAATAATCTACCAGATGTAGCAACCCGACATAAATAAAAGCTATAAAATGCAACCAACTAGCCTAATGCAAGTAATTTATATAAAATGACACACTAGAAAATTATGCATAATCATTGAAAAAAAACTAATAAAACAAATTATTGAAAAGGTCCCCTTTTTAATAATAACTGCAAGTTTACTTTGACTGTAGTTTACTTTCACTTTAATAAAATGCTTGAATTTATTTTATGATTATAAAAGTCTTGTATGCAATTATAAAGGGTTGTTCAATTTGATCTTTAAATGACAGCTTTTTTTCTTATAATTTTCTATAATATAAAAATTGATAATACTGAAAATTTAAATATCATAATTAAAATTATGATAAGGTTAAATAGGTTAATATCCTACAACTCCAAGCAATTTTTTTTGTGGGGGAAAATGATTTATATCATATATAAAGTTTGTGTGTGGAAAATGTATAAAGTAAAAATTGGGATTAAAAAAAAGAAAAAAGGCCAAAAATCACCCAGCCCTACATTCTCTACTTTGGGGAAATATTTTATAAAGCAAAAACCAAAGCAAATCAGCATGTGACAATAAAGACGCAAGTACTGATGGTAAAACTTCAGCTTTGAGTCATATGAACAGATTAGATTTTAAAGATATTAACAATAAAAATAAAAATAATAATGTTACCTGGCTTTTTAAATTGTTTTAGAGCATTTCTGATTAAATAAAGTGCAACAATAATGAACATGACACTGTATAAAAAAAAAAAAAAAAAAAAAAAAAAAAAAAAAAAAACAAATGTGTACCAAACTCAGGCTCTCCTCCCAAGACTGACTCATCTGCATGGCTGCCTGCACCTCTCTGCAAAAAAAATTCAACATGAGGAAATTTTTTTTTTTTAAATACAAACATTACTAAATAAGCAGAGCAGTCTAATAAAAGTGCTTATTTGATTGTGCACAGAGCATGTCCAGCTGTCAGTGAAGCTTTTGAACACTACAAACACACAAAACCTGCTGTCAACAACTGATAAATGAGAAAGCAATGCCCTGGGGCTTCAGCAGATGCGAGCTCTTACCGTTCATGAGCAGTTTCACGGTTCATCACATCAACACCTTCTTCCTACAAGCGAGCAAGCATAGAAGAAACCTTAACATGAGGGGAAACATCACCAGCACAAAAATGACTTTCTGTATACATCTATAATCTCATGTTGGAGTGCGGTACTACCAACCAGTCTAAATTTGGAAAACTGGTGGTTAACGAAAACTCCAAAAGCAATTTCAGCATGTATTTTTAACACATGCTCTCATGTGCTCGTACACAAGAGCAGCGAGTTAGACATGCTATAAAGATTACATCCTCAAGTCAAATTTCATGGTATGCTGATGCAAACTCTGCACCTGTTTGATCCTCTGTAGTCTTGTGCTAGGAACACGAACTGGCGAAGATGGAACCTAAAATCATAAAACATCCAATAAGCAAATTGCATTATCCAATACACAGTTATACATTTTTCTGCCGCTTGCTTGCAACATACCACATTGGGTCGAACAACAGTAGTGCTGTTTCTTCTGCTGCGGAGGACTTCTCTCTGGAACACCTGAGAAGCATCACTGGAGAAAGAAAATATTTTCAACATTGGTGTGTTTTAAACGCCATTCATTCAAAATTTAAATATATAAAAAGAAAGATGCCCATAAAGTAGTGGGAGAGGGTTTTAAAGGGATTGTTGACCCAAAAATGTAAATTTTACTCTCGCTCAAGTGGATTTAAACCTTTATAATAGGGCTGCATGATATTGAAAAAACTTAGCATTGCAATATTTCTTTATTTTGTGATATATACTGAAAAACTAACACAATTTCACCAAATGACTTAATATCTCTATTTGGAAAGAATGGAGTACATCTCCATTAAATCAAATAATCTCTAAAATTTTTGGGGTCCCCCGACTCATTTTCATTGTGATCTGTGCTATTTGCAGCGCATTTCTGTATTTGACTAAACACGTGCATGAAAATACAACACATGCACAGATTGATGAATTATTGTTTACTATTTGAACCAATAAACAATCTATAACTTTTTGGGGTCCCTCGACACATTTTTGTTGTGATCTGTGCTATTCGCAGTGCATTTATGTATCTGTATGCGTTGCAAGTGCTTTCATGCATAACTATCTATAAATACAATCAGGAAAAAATTAAAACTGAATTAAAGCGTTTTATCGTCTAACAGTATACAAGTACAGTAACTGTATAATAAAAATAAAAATAATTCAATAAAATTAATCGGTTTTATATCCATCTATCTATCCATCTATCTATCTAAAAAAAGGTTAAATCATGACAACCACAGGTATCAAAAACAAAATACACGCAAATGATAAATAATGATACAAACTCAATACTTCATATCCTGTGATGTGACTATTGCGAATGATCACATTGCGATATTGATGCTGAAACGATATACATTGCGCAGCCATACTTTGAGTTTCTTTCTTCTGTTAAACACAAAATATTACATTTTGAAGAAAGCCAAAAACCTGTGACCACTGACTTCCATAGTAAAAAAAAAACACTATGAAAGTCTATGATTACAGGTTTTCTTTTGTCTTCAAGTATCCTCGGTGTTCAACTGAACAAAGAAACTCAGTTTGAGATGAGAAAAGGATGAGTACATGACAACTTTAAATTGAGCGAACTGACAATTTTAATTGAGTGATCCCGTAATCGAGTGATCCCGTAAACTATGAGAATGTTTATACATTTTGGTCATTTGTTTCCATCACATCTATTTCAGGAATTGAAACTTGGCTTAAAGAAAGAGGTTACAAAGTTTTAAACTAGTACCATTATGGTCTCTGTGTTAATTTGAAAAACATGATTTTATGAAAACTGTGAAGTCAACCACATTCATGTGTTCGGTTTATAGGCATGTGTGAGTATTTGAAAACCATCAGAACAATGGTGGACTATAGGCCTGTATATGCACAGGTGCTTAGTTTCTCTTTACAAATCAGTACTATTTACTGATCAGTACTATTTACTACAAGTCTTACATAAAGTATTGAAGCACATTTTATGAATGCAAATACAATCATTGTATAAAGGTCAATTAAAAGACCATGTTCATCATGAATGATAACCATTACATAACTAAATTATTAGCATAAACATCAATGCACATTTACGTCCTGCTTTTAAATGCATGTTGCCGTTTTGTTATCTGTAACTTTAAGAGCTAAAGCTCTTTAAAACCTAGTGCATTCAGATTGGCTGTACTTTTTAATTTAATTCATCATTTTAAAGATTTGTTTATCAAACAAACAGCATCAATCGTCTGTGAATAGGGCTGTGCGATGTTTTTTTTGTGCGATATTTTTGTAGTTTAAATTCAGCTCAACATTCTGTATTTTAGCTTCTTACTGTGTGTAAAAAAAGAACTAAAAAGATATTACTTCAACTTTTTTTCAAAATTTCTTTATAATTATTCAGAAATTAAACACAAAAATTTTTCCTAAAGCAAACAGTAGTGAGTTATGGCAAGTTATCTCGTGGTGTCTTTGAGATGTTTCTGCATATGGTGTAACAGCTGCAAAACAAAATTGTACTTTGCTGTTGCTAGCTACTAGATATAGTGTCACTGGCAACACTTTTGGTGGACTTTAGCAAGACACTTTATATAGCCGCATGTAGTGCTTTTTTAGGTGCTGTTTGTTGCATTTTCTAGTGCTGTGACAACAATTCTGCGACAGCTCTTACTAATGACCTGTTGTTGTTCAGTGTCTGCGACTTTACAAAACCAAAATATTCCATTTTTTTTTTTCTCTGATAGGAGTTCATCTATTAATAGCAGCAGACACCATCATCCCACTTGTCCACGCTTTCCTGTTTGTTTTATTGTGGGCTTTCCACATAGTTTGGCTGCGCAATTCTGATTGAACAGACCGAAAGTGGGCTCACTCAATTGCCTAGTAAGACCCACACAGATGGCAGCCACACATTTGCTCTAGGTGGAGGAAATTATATAATACATTTCATATCGCAGCTACTTGGGATTAGCTAAATCACGTTTCAAATCGTGCTTGAGATTCAATTTCGATTAATTGCACAGCCCTATCTGTGACTATGTTATTATCATCATAGTTGTGTTGTGGTTTCCACAATTTTAGAAGACCTGGAGCAGTAATTTGCATTTACGTTTCTATGATGGGGTTTCTCAATTCATGAGTAAAATAAGTTCTGTGGTAAGACTAAAATTGCTTGACATTGGAAAGTACACCCAAGCTTAAGACTCAAATTTGTATGTCTGTAGTATATGCTGTACAACAAAACACCCATGTATGGGTAAAGTCGTATACAGTACCACAGGCCATACAGTATTTATGAATGGAATATCCCTATTATAAAATGTAATGTATTTTTATTTAGTGCCATGTCAGCAACCAAGGCTATCTTCATGGCAGGAATCTTTCAACAATAAATATACAATTTAAAAATCAACAAACAAAATAAAAACATAAATTAAATAAGATTTTTTGTGTTAATACATGATAAAAATTCTAAAATCTTTTCTGGTTCCACTTTGTCAAAAATGTCCTTAAAAGAGTTCATTTCATAAAAAGTCCTTCTGGAATCAGTAAAAGCAGGACAGTCCAGTAAAATATGTTTTACAGTGATAGGAGTTTTGCAGCACAAACACTGAGTGGGGTTTTCACCTTGGAGCAAAAATCCATGTGTAATTCTCGTATGTCCAATACGGCATCTGGTAAAAACTATTTGATCAAATCGATTCTTAAAATGTCTTAAAATTCTGTGTGAAACTTCAGGTTGGATTTCATGTAGTTTATTGTTTTCTAATGCATCCCATTCCTTTTGCCACTTGTTTAAAATGTAAGCGTTGATAAAAGGTTTCATCTCTGACGGAGGAATTTGGCATTTGTTCATTACTTGCTTCAAAGCATCTTTAGCAGCTGCATCAGCTCGCTCATTGCCTAAAAGCCCGACATGTCCAGGAACCCAGCAAAAAATTATGTGATAAAACTGATTTTGTAGTTGGTGAACTTTAGTTAAAATATTGTCAATCAAAGGATGATCATTTGTTGAAGATTCCATAACTTGGAGGCATGATTTAGAGTCTGTGAAAATGATGGATTTCTTTTGTTGTGCATTTTCTATGTACTCCAATGCTAAAAGTAAAGCGCGGGCTTCAGCTGTGAATATGGAGCATTCTTTAGGTAGACTGATTCCATGACTTTGTTCCCCTGTCACCATTGCTGCTGCTACATTACTTTCAATCTTTGAACCATCTGTGAAGATTGGTATGTGCTGAGAGTATTGAGTTCTGATATCCAGGTATTGTTGTTTGTACATATTGGGATGAGTAACTCCTTTCTTCTGGTGTCCTAGCTCCATATTGATTATAGGCATCTTTAAATTCCAGGGAGGCAATGAGTTGAAGTGTATTTGTTTTAAAATGTCCAGGTTTAAATTTAGATTTTGTAAGTGTGAATTGATACGTAAACCAAATGGTCTGATGGTTTTTGGCTTACTTTCGTATAATTGTACAAACTGAGGTTCGAAAACTGCAGTATAAGCTGGGTTATTCTTATTTGCCTTTAGTTTGATAGCATATTGTAATGAAAGTTTCAGCCGTCTATTTTGAAGTGAGGGTTCGTTAGCTTCAATGTACAGACTCTGAACGGGTGATGTTCTGAATGCTCCTAAAGCAAGCCGTAATCCTTGATGGTGGACTGTATTGAGGATTTGTTTATAAGATTTCCTGGCAGAGTCATAAATTATGCTTCCATAATCCAAACGAGATCGAATGAGTACTCTGTACAATCGTAAAAGTACAGTTAAGTCAGCACCCCAATTTGTTTTTGCCAACACTTTGATTATGTTCATAGCTTTGAGGCACTTGTTTTTCAAAAATTTTAAATGAGGGATAAAAGTCATTTTGTTATCAAAAAGGAGACCTAAAAACTTGATTTCTTTAACAACTTTGATCATATTTCCATTGATAAAAAGTTCTGGATCATGATGAAGTGATCGCTGGATACAAAAATGTGTCCCTATTATAAAAACACAGGAAAATGCAGAGGTAAACAGTGGTCAGTCAGTCTTTGACATTACAGCGGCAGCACATGCATGGTCATCAATCTTGGTGTCATCCAGCCTTTAATGATTGTCTAAATGCTGTTTTCATCACTAAGGAGAACCCAATATCCGGTTACAACATTACTGTGAAACTCCTATTAATGCTTAATTTTGAAACCATGCATTTAGAGACAGGCTGAGTTCTCATTTCACTGCAACAATATTACCACCACTGCTATACGAATGTGTGAGTTATATACTACCAACACAGTCTGTTCTTGACAGACTGGTGGCCCTGATGACTCAAAACATGTTAATCTAGCATGGCTGCATGACTTTACTCCCTACCAGTGAGAGAGCATCTACAACAGTCATGCATAACTCAACACTTAGTAAGCTGTCTAAAAGTGCTGTACTTTTAGGGATTAAAGCATGTACAGTAGGAACTTACCTTCACGCTTGGAAACACACCCGTGATGCATCCCTAATTACGAACCCATTTTAGGATGTAAAGTTCCAAAAACCCTACTTGTTTAAGATTTATGCAAAGCTGGTTTTATTTTCGTACATTCAGGTTCTCCTTAAAGGGCACCTATTTTACCAATTTTCAAGATTTAAGATAAGTCTTGTGTCTCGAGATTCTGTCTGGGTTTAGTTAAAAATACCCATCAGATTATTTATTATACCTTTGTGTATATTGAATATTTAAGCAGTTTTGACTTTGTAGAGGTTTGTTGTCTGTGTTTCTAATGGAAATGAGCTGGTTCTTCCCGCCCACCATACCCACATGCGTGTCAGAGCCAAAGAGATTGCTGACTATTGCTATGATGGGTGTAGCTTCTCCTGCTGCATCTCACGCATAAGCAGCACAGTGACAGACAAGAATGAAGCTGATCTCCCTTAAGTTACTACAGTAAGAATTTCCCCAAAGGTTATTTGATGTATTTGTGGTGGAGTTAATTTAAGCCTTTCTGCAACAATTAGTCACACACAATTAGCCCTTTCACACAGTGATACCGGTAAATATCTGGAAAACTTCTGGAACGACTTTACCGGTATATTCAAAAAAGCGCTGTTCACACAGGCGAGGACGTTACGGAAATTTTCCGGAAAAGAGCATTCACACATCCATTCCAAAATACCGGTAAATTCTGACATCATTCACCACAAATTAGCTTTAAACGGCTGCGCTTGTATTTGTAAACATTTGACTAAATTACAAACTCTGTGGATGATCAATATTGTGAACAACTTTCACAGGATCACTTTCGCATGTCGAGATGTTCATAATATGTGTGTGTGCAGGCGCTCACAGGCTGTTTCACAGGCACACGCAAAGCTTGAAGGTAAACAAACAGCGGCTTATCATAAGCATTTAATCGATGATTATTTACACAGTTGGCATTAAGAAGAACATATAAACGTGATATGACTAACTTCTAGCAGCTAAATGTGTCTGGAAAAATATTCAAAGGCTTTTATTCTCACAAACCGCGCGGACGTAAATGCGTCTGACTGTTGTGATTGGCTAAAGCAGACGTCTCACGTCAGCACGTTTTAGACGTGCACGCGCTTATTACGGCAATCTTCCTTCTGCATTCACACAGCGCAGCATTCCGGCAAATTGCCGGTAATGTTACAACTGCTCTTTCCGGAAAATAGCCAGAACAAATTTACCGGTATTTTCAAAAAGGACCTGTTCACACATACAACCTTTCCAAAATTGCCGGCAATTTTCCGGAAAGGTCTGTATGTGTGAAAGGGGCTAACGTCATGCGCGCATGTGTTTAGCTTTGCACTATTTTTGCACAGCAAGCGTGACTGGATACACATTAACATCCACTGCTGTATGGACATCCGTTATGTTAAATGTACAAAATAAACCTGATTAAAATCCGCGAACTGGGATTTGAGCCTCTTTTTAATAATTGTACGGACATGCAGCTGTGGTGAAGAATTACGAAGTGATTTTGCTGTCTTTATTTCAAACATGCACCGTTTTAGAAACTCTTTAACCTTGTAAAACTCATTCTTGAGGTGCAGATATTTACAGAGCTAAAGGTCATTTAAACCCAGTTTCTTTGCACACATCCCGTCTTGTGGATATGATTATACGCATCACTATGGAGACATGTTAATATGTGGCTGTCAATCAATTCAGTGGGTGGGCTAACCAAACTCTTAAGTCATGTTGCGGCGCCACAAAATGGGAGGGATTTGGATCCTCTTTTCAACGTCAGAAACTTTAAAAAAAAAAAAAAGAGACTTGTTGTGTTCCTATCACTCCAGTATGACTGTGGACACTACAGTTCTGCCCAAACAGCTTACAAAAGATGATTTTCATCATAGGTGTCCTTTAATATATATATTTTCATAAAAATATTCTCTGCAAATTTAAAATGGTAAAATTATATTAGCAGCCAATGATTATTAAAGTACAAAATAGTTCAGTCAAAAATCATCACTGCTAATGTTGTTTTCATGTCATACTTGCACGTGGTTTCAGACAGAATATTCAAATGTGCTCCCTATATTGTTTACCATGGAAATCACAAGTTGTCACAGAAGGAACGTGCGAAAAATAAAACCAACTTTACCTCAATTCTTACAAAACCCGGTTTATCCAAACTAACAAGCCAATTACAAACTTAAACTGAATTTATTTATTTATTTATTTTACATTTTTTGGCTTGACAGTCATCATTTACTCAGACCTAACCGGTTAATAAGTTTCTTTCTGATATTCTGAATAAGGAAACCACTGACTTCCATACTATCTGTTTTTGCAATAAAATGGAGGTAAAGTTGGTTTTATATTCGCACATTGGTTGATTTACAGCTTGTGAAACGGTCCCTGGTCTGAAACTGAATGCAAGAATGACTTCAAAACAACATTAACACAATTTATTTGACCGTGTCCAGATGACCACAAGTTCACAGCATAACAACAAAAGTTAAAGAATAACAGAGTTAAATAAAACACAAATGCAATCAATCGTCACCTGAGGCCGTTGATCATGGGCTCGCTGTTTGACCGCCTCAGCTGCCCATCGCTCTGAACAAGTGCGGTCGGAATGTCCAGGTCCAGCTCCATCTTCTCTTGTGACATTATTCCTTGATTGTTCATCTTATTGTCTTTGTATGTATGCCGCAATAAAAGCACGAAGGTTAGAAAGCTACATCGTTGAAAGGCACACAGCAGATCGACGTCTCAGTTTTCTATGTGCATTCTGTAGCCTGCACAGAAAGACTTGGGCTTCTGTTGTTGATGATCTTAAGTCAATGCAGGTCTCGATCAATGCTTGAGGAAATGATCCGCTGGTTTCTGCGAACCATCATTCTGATACCTTTCTACAAAACTCTGCACTTGTGGTCCAAACTTGTAGATCCAGCGGCTGGTTAGCTGCGAGCTAATGTGTGAAAGGGGTTTGGCCCGTGCACACTATTCCTGTGCTGTTAGCTTAGCTCGATGGCGAACAAACACCACAAACTGAGCAGCTCGGCTCACATAATTTCAGTTTAAGAAGTACGTGTGCAAAGGGTGCGTGAAAAGGCAGGAAAGCATGAAGATTCTGCCGTTAAACCTTGAGCGAAATGACAACAAGAGCTGAAAGCACAACAATGTTCAGCTGGCCATCATCACCATGAAGCTAACTAGCTTGCTGTTCTTGGCTGGGTATACACATATAAATCAATAGACAAGCGCGCAGCTCCTCTCCGACATCTTCTGTTGGCCAGTTTGGTGTGTCGGTGACAAGTTGTATGACTTTGTTACTTAGTTGCGTTAATCATAGGTTAGCATATTGTTTATCTATTTTCTGGACGCCGCAGCGGACCCACAGCTCAGCCGAGAGTCCCGCCCATTCAGTTCCTACCCGATTGACTGACAGCATCGCGAACCAATGGGAAGGTTGAGGGCCGCCGACCTGCCTTTTTGAATGGGAACCGTCCGGCGAAGTAGCCAATCAAATCACATTTCCTGGAGATGTTTCCTCGGTACGTCTTTGTGCCCCCGTGCACGCGGATTAACGCATGCGCATTGTATTGTTGCTTTTAAACCAGTAAATTGGCTTAAACCAGGGGTGCCCAAACTTTTTCTTATAAAGGGCCAAAAACCAAACCTGATTGAGGCTTGTGGGTCGAAGGTAAATATAGTTTATATGGGTAATTTCCTAATTCATTTTAACATAACTAGAAAACATTGCTTTATATTTAAGAATACCGTATTTATTTACATTTTATAATGAACTTATTACAGTAACAAAACAATCTGATTGATAACAGAATGACACTAGTTGTTGCCCTGATTTGCTCGCCAATGTCTTCTGCATAGTCCTCTATCCGTCGAGTGACAGTATACATTTTTTAACAGTCATTTTCATTTACAGCATTTAATTGAAACATTTAATTTCAGTTTATTTTTTGTAGCTCAGCAATAAAACACAAAAAAGTTAACGTCAAATTAGAAATGCTGATCTCTGGGTTAAGGGAATTCACCCCAACCCTCTCCATCAGTCTCACTCTCCTCTCAGATGGAATTGTGTGCCAAATAAAAGGTTACAGCGAGCCAACATTGGCCCGCGGGCCCTACTTTGGGCATCTTAAATTATGGTTTAAACCATAATAAAATGGATGAATCTGTAAGATTTGTGTTGTACTTACAGATATTTTATCAGCTAACATTTTAGATTTTTGAGATTCTATTGTAAACGTTTTCTTTCTTGTATAAAATACAGTTCATTGAACAGTTTAAATGTGTGCATGAAATAATTATTTGCAGTAGACATGATTACTTTACCTCTGGTTATATTGGATGCAGTATGTACGATTGTTTACCAGTGTGTCCTCAAACATTGACCTTGATCCTATCTACAACCTAACACCAAAATAACTGAACAAAGCATCTTTCATCTTATGAAAACATGGGGAAAATTATATATATTGTGGAAACAAATGATCTAATCCGCCCCTATGAATTACTAATACATTAGAATGTTTTACTAAATTGTTTCAAGTAAGCCGAGGCACAAACCATTTAATATTTATGTTCACTTAACCCAAATCGAGATCAGGCAGGCTCAGGGGGTATTCGAGTAGTTCAAAAGACCTAACCCCTGACCTACACTGACAAAAGGTCCAGAAATTGCCATTGGTCCAGAATTTTTGGCACCATTTTCTCATTTGTCCTGTTTTGACCCATGGAAGGTTTTAAGACCATGCAGAATGTGACGTAAGTGAAGTCAACTTTCAATATTTACCTACTGTTGTTAAATAGAAAAACATTTTACAAGTAGCCTTAATTTAATTCCAAATCTTGGAAATTATTTATGAAAGAAAAAATGGACCAATGAAAAGGCGCAAAGCACCAAAAGTGGCCCATATTAAAGTTAGTTTTAATAGTAATTTGGCTGTTGTTGTTATTGTCCATGAATTTTCCCATTTTGCAAGAGAGGCTAGAAAACAATTGTAAAGTTTTACGTTGATATCATCATGTTTTGATTGATATTTATTCAAATGGCCAAATTCTGCTTGAGGTAAGCTGAATGTGCTGGCCAGATTGTTATTTGTTCAATAAATGACAACTAGGCATGGAACCATAACGGGTTTCAAGGTTTACCGCGGTTTAGAAAAGTCAAGGTTTTAATGCCGCTAAAATGTTCAGTTATACCATTCAAAAGGCATATGTACGTTTTTTTTTAAAGGTTTTTTTTAAGTGTTGTAAAGAAATCTGTGTTTTTGAAACTAATGAAGACAGCAGAAGTCAATAATTTAATCTACCTATTCAGCCTGACACGTTTAATGTTACAAAATATTATAAATGTTCCCTGAAAAAAAAATGTGTTTAGAGGGGGAAAATTTTTAATTATTTTTTTCCCAGACATTTAAGAAAAAAAAAATATTTTAGAGCATTGTTAACATTATTGTGATTATCATACCATCAGGTTATTATACCATCAGAAACCTATACCAGCCCATGCCTAATGACAACAGGCTACATTTTTTTATAACTGTATAATATGTAATAACTTTGTATTTTAAAAATAAGTTGTTGCTGTTTTTTTTTTATTTTCTTTAGTCTTTAGGAAATATTTTCGGCACATCAAAAATCGACCATTCGACAAGCTAATCCAGCTAAAAATAGTGCTTAAAATGTCACTAAATGGAGTATTCATTTATTCATTCATTTTATTTTCAGTTTAGTCCTTTTATTAATCAGGTTTTTCCACAGCGGAATGAATCGCCAACTTATCCAGCATATGTTCTACGCAGAAGATGCCCTTCTAGCTGCAACCCAATATTGGGAAACACCCATACACTCTCATTCACACTCATACACTACGGTCAATTTAGCTTACCCAATTTACATGTAGTGTATGTCTTTGGACTGGCGAAAACCGGAGCACCCCGACTCCCGGAGGAAACCCATTTCAACATGGGGAGAACATGCAAAGTCCACGGAGAAATGCCAACTGACCCAGCCGAGGGTCGAACCAGCGATCTTCTTGCTGTGAGGTGACACCCCTACCCACTCCGCCACTGTGCTGCCCTATGTGGAGTATTAAAACCTCATAATTAAATAGAAAATAACAACTGCAAAAAAGTCCACTTTCTGAGAAAAATAACCCATCCCTTTCACCAGGCTGAATACGGGCCTGTCAGGGGTGTCAAACTCACTTCCTGGAGGGCTGCAGTCCTGCATAGTTCAGCTGCAACCCTGCTCCAACACACTTACTTGTAGGTTTCAAACAAGCCTGAAGGACTCAATTAGTTTGATCAGGCGTGTTTAATTATGGTTGGAACTAAACTGTGCAAAGCTGCGTCCCTCCAGAAACTGAGTTTGACACCTTTGGATGAGATCGTTGACAGGATTTGCTAAAACTACAACTTTAAATAAAACGAGCTATAAAATGGTAAGGTGTGGTAAAAAAAAAAAAAAAAAAGATAATGTTATGTGCAGGACTCCATATCTCATTTTAAACTATATTTACATATGACATCCTCAAGATAAGACTTGTGCTGAATTCATACAAGAAAATAAACCTTTAGTGATCTTAATCTTACCCTCAAACAAGAAAATTATAACATTGGTTGTGTCAAGAAAAAAGAAAAATTGTGACAAAAATGAAAGACACAGGCCGTTGAGTTGTAGTTAAAACCTATTTTCCAGCTTCCGTCAAAACCTACACATACACTGTGTACTGACACTCTCTCCACCCTAAACCCAATTTTGCATAAAATAGCTTTACACAGAACACACCAGCAGTGAGCAACAGCAGTCACATGCTTCATACAGCTCACTGCAAGGCCTCTGTCTGGCAGCAGACAATGTTTCTTTTCTCTTCTTCTAATGAGAGACACAAGATTTTGAGCCAGGCGACTGCAAGGTCATTACGCAGGTCAGGTGATGGCAACTTCCACTGATATTTGTAGATAAAAAAAATCAACAATATTATAGTCATTTCAACAATTCAATAACCAGGAAAATCATTGATTGTGTAAAGATTTAGTTCAGAGATTTAAAAGAAACAGGGAGGAGGCAACAGTTGTTAATATACTTATTTTAAAAATATGCTTTATACAATATACTTTAAATCTAAGATGAACATCCTTACATTTTATAAATAGGATAATAATAATCATCAGCAGGTTTTCAAGTTATTCATGATTTGATTGATGCTTTAAATCGTATTGTAATGTAAATCAAATTATTTGTAAAGTAAATTTGTTTCAGCCTAAATAAGTGTTGTATTATTTACTTTTATAGCCTACTAAATATATATATTTTAGATTTACATCTTATAAACGTGCATGATAATGTATAGTATCAACTTAAAAATTTGTAAAATATTAAAAGGCTAATTTTAAGTAATAAATACCTAATAAAAGAGCAAAGCTGTATACGTTAATATATTTTTATTGAATGTATGTAAACTAAATTATAATATTAAACTTGTGTTATTAAATAGGCCTAGTGGTGGGTGGTAAATGTTAAATTTAGGATTATTAAAGAACTTTCAAGTATATTTGCTGTATAAAAACTACAGAAAATACTGTTTTACTTCATTATTTAACTTAGTACAAATCAAAGTGAAGTTATAAACAATATATTACATATTTATTATCTATTATTATTGTATCTGTGGTTATTATTATACATTTACTAAATAATACGAGTGACAGTTATACTGCCACTCGTATTATTTAAAGTGTAATTACCGTATTTTTAAAAACTTAAAAGTGGGGCAATTTAGCCCCAGGTAGTACTGGAACTGTACCTTATACATACTACTACACTGAAATTCGTATACTTACTACACAAAGTATACTTAAAAACATACTTGGAAATTACAGTCATGTAAGATTAGCCAAACAACTTTAAGTTTGATTTATAAGTTTCTGTGGGTTTTCGTACAACATACTCCACTAAAACCAGAAACTTTGTTAGCTGAGAGACCAAGCTGAGTGCTTCAAAGGGCATGACAACATCCTGAGGGGATCCAGTG